AATACAATAAGTTGCCATTCTTATAATAAATCCTTTCGATTTTTGTTTTATGTTAACGAGTACGTACATGATGCGCCCAATTGGTTAAACTATTACTAGGTGACCGGTCCGCACCCTGTGCGGGCATAAGTATGTTCAAAAAAATTATAATAGTGTATCGGTTTAGAAGTAACGGACGGTACATCATCATACTACCATGTTTTGGAGAAACCCTACACCGTGGAGAAAAGCCGGTACTCAATATTTGACATTATATGAGAGGGTATAAAATAACGCACATGGTGCGAGCAGTTATTGTGTGTATGTATAATTGCAAAGTCTCAAAATAATTAGTGTGTTTTACGAAAATATTTTCATTCGTCATCTAATGGATTTACTAAGACTTCTTATAAATAGTGTACAGTTTTAGAAGTAACAGATTTTATATTATCCTTTGTAATTAGAATTGTATTGTATATATGTGGTAACTATTACTTTCATTTACTCCATTCTTTGAACTCTTCACCTTTTAATAAAAGTTAACTATTACTTTCATTTAGTCCATTCTTTGAAGTCTTCCACGACTCTGTAAAAAAACAAATATTTCTCAATGAGGGAACATGTTACTCAACAATACAACATTAAATCAGACAAGCATTACTTACTTTTGCCTCTCAAATCCAGAAGGGTACTATAATGAAGGTTACTCTAGAAATAGAATAATTTATTTTTGGGAAAATCGCATAAAAAACATTCAAGGTGGCAACCATTTACACTTAATACCCTGAGAGTATTTTACAAGCACTTTAAACACTCAAGTTTGCAACTTTAGCATATTAAACCTCTAATCTGGCTTACTTGTACATCAAGTTAAAAATGTGACCGGTACTGTTCAAAATCGATGACGTGTCGGTTTGTGTTTTTTTTTAAAAAAAATTTATTTTACTAATAAATAAATATAAAAATACAGAAAATATAAAAATTCATTAAAATCATTAAAAATTAAAAAAATCATAAACATTAAAAAATCACAAAATAAATAAAATATTTTATTAATAAAATATTAAAAATAAGAAAAATTTAAAAGAAATTATAAAAAATTCCAAAATAAGAAAATTCACAAAATTTTAAATAAAATAAAAAGGAAATTTAAATAAAATTAATAGATAAAATAAATATAAATTCAAGAATAAATAATTTTATTTGTTTTATAAAAAAACGAGAAAACACTATATATTTTTTTAAAATAATCATTATCTTCAAATGATTCTCGTGAACCAAATCAAAGCAAACAAATTAAATTCCAAGTCATCGTATAAATTAAATGTATATGATATATACCATCAAATGATTCTCGTGAACCAAATCAAAGGAAACAAGTTAAAATCAAAGTCTTTTAGCAGTTATTAAAATACTCTATATTAATCTAGTATAATATAGTATAATACTGAAACATGAGTATCTATTGAGTTCAAATGTGGGAGTTAGTGGAAGAAGTGAGAGTTTCAATGCTGAGACAAGATTTCCACAAATCTCTAGGATGCAGTAAGGGTGGGCAAATCGTAAATTTTTCGGTTTGGTTTGTTTAGTTCGGTTTTAATATATTTTTTTCAACTGAAATAAACCTTATTTAGTCTGATTCGGTGTGGTTTATGTCCAGTTCAAGTTATATTAAGTTCGGTTTGTTTTTGGATCGGTTTAGTTAGGCTCTCTGTCGCTTAATTTTTTAAAAGAAAAATTATGTTTTAAAATATATACACATAAAGTATGTGAACTAATTCAATATTAAACTGAAACAAAAACTAAAAAAGTCACAAAAAATATATAAGAATAAAACAAATGAAATTTAACTAAAGTAAAAAAAAATTAACATCATTAGTATGTTTTTAATAAAAGAACTATTAAAAAAATGTAAGAAAAATATACAGGAGACAGTGACATATTAAATAAAAATCTCATAGATATCACAATCCCATAGAAAATGTGATAAAAGTTTAAATATAATTCATAAGTAATATAAAATAAGAAGAACAATTATGAATTAAAAAAATCCCATAGAAACCTGCAAAAATTGTCAATTTTTTAGCAATTGTAGAATATAAAATAATTTAATAGATTTATAAATGTTATCGAGACGAAAATAATATTGAATTCGCATATCGCTATTGAAACAAACTGAAAAATGGTTTGTAATCAACTACAAACGGACTTTCATCTGTGTTATTTATCTGTTAATAGAAAAAACAAACAAATGTATATATATAGTAAATTACATTTTTAAGATCCATATTTATATATATATAATTAAGATAATAGTTTTGGCTTTTTTAAATCTCAAATCACCATTATATTTGTGGTTTTCTAAATGGATAATAGTTTTGGGATTTTCCAACTCAAATCACTATTATCATATAAATTTGTGCAAGTAATTGATAGCAAAATAAGGTAATCATCATATTTCCGAATTGTATCATCATCATATCATATCATCATTCTATGTACTCAGAGTCAGATATTTGTCAATTGCTTCTAGAGAAGCAGCAAACGTAAAACTATATTATATACCACATAATATATTATATATACATGATAATCACATTTTATATATTTAATGTAGATGGTATACAGGATTGATAATCACATATTATATATTTAATGTAGATGGTATATAGGATTTAATGATATAATTGAAATTGAACCAAACCAAACTCGACTAATTAGGTTAGTTTAACTAATTTGACCTTGAAAATCAAGTGGTGCTAAACTTAATCATTACAGGACTGTATATGGATTTTAATAAGAATAAATTATGTGAATGAGATCAATGCATCTAATTAAATAAGACCGGCAAGTAAGAATATAAAGAAAAAAAAAAGAAGAGTATTTGGATAAAAGGTGTGAAACATATCAGAAATTAACAGTGCGTTTGAATAGAAAAAAATTTTGACTTCTATTCTCCCTTTTCTTACCACATGAAAGACCAAATGGAGAAAAAACATGTGTATACAAGACATAAGAAACGAAAAAGAGATAAATGTAATCATGATTTCAGGTGTTTCAATATAAGACAATTGTTGGCAACTTTGAGTATATTTTTTAAAAAAGGAACATGTTATAAAAATACACTATTAGAAAAATGACTTTTTATTTTGTGGCAGCTGCGGAATGGCATCAATAAGAGGTTGCCTCTTGATCTTGGTCCATTTTACATGGATATATTATTTAGAGCAAAGGTAAGCAATCACGTGTTCTTGTTATAAATGTATAAACACTCTCTAACCGTTGTTAAAACAAACACTCTCTAACCGCAAAGAAATTAAACACGTTAAGCCCCATTCTCATTTGAATTCACGACGCCACAAAAAGTATTTGCCTACGTCTGTGCATACACACAGTCCCGGCTCTATACGTGTGCTGACAGTGCAAAAGCACCGGGTCTTTGATTTTTTTCTTAAATTTCTGTAAGCTTTTAGGGCCCTAAAATTTTCTTATAAAAAAGTTGTTATCATCCAAACGATATACACTGAACTCGGATAGGACGATAAACCATTTTTGTCAACAAGAAATATAAACCAGCACGTGTTTTACAGTGAAATTAATTGGTTTATCATTATTACTGGTCACTACTATGTGACTTTAACTAAATTTTATTTTGTTTGTCATTATTTTAAACAAAAACTAAAAAAGCCAGCACAGAGCCCTTGCAAACTTTGAGCCGGGCCTGCATACACACACAAATACAAGTGCCAAAATGTTCTTCTCTGCTTTGCATAAGACGGTACCTTCAAGTAGAAGTACGTCTTTTTCTTTCTAAAAGGATAATTAGAAAAGTCATCTTAATCTTTTTAAGAGAAAAATTAGACTGTATTTTTAAGAATTAAAATAAAAGACTAATTTGTTTAGGTTGTGTAGGATTGACGATTTAGAGTTTAAGACTGATTACGTCTTTGCATACACATACTCACATACGAGTGCCAAAATAAAATTGTACGCCGGCAGCTCTAAATCAAACTATTTGGACTTTATAAGTGCAATGATAATAAGAAAAGTAGTCCAAAATTGTCAAAAATAGACTACATATAAAAATATTAAAAATACATTTTTAAAGCTTTTCTGTTAACGTTTTGCAGAGTTGGAGAATTAAGGTTTATAGAGCATAATATTTAGGTTTGGACTACAAGATTTAGAATTTAGGGTCTAAATATATATATATATATATACTAAGTTACTTCTGTTATTCTCATTACATTGTAGGCTATGAGATGAGAGAAGGAACTTCCAAATAGATGTGTGACGACTCTTTATTGTCATATTTAACTTCAACGGGCTCAATCTCAAATTTTCTCCCACAATATTCTGAAAATTTTGTAACCTGGTCAATAAATTCATTTTCAACTAATTAAAATAAAGAATCAGCCAAAACTTTATGTTTCTCTGTTCCTTTCCAAGTATTTTTTTTCATGGATAAGAAAAGCCCGTAACACCGAAAGCACAAGTTCATGACATTATCAAAATTTGGAGATAGGACAAAAGGAGAGGCTTTATAGACACAATCCCACGACAAAAAGGGCAAGAGAAACAAAACAAAAATCATCTGGAGTGTTGCACCGGAAGAACTTGCAATGCCTTTGGTTCGAGTAAACTACTTCCGGGAGAGAATCAATAACATGTTTTCTTTGGTAAAGGTACAACTGCAGATTCGGAAAACAACAAAGAGAAAAGAAATTTAACATCAGCGGAATGGATATATATCAAGGATTTTTAATAAGAGACTGATCTGGTGATGGTGAGAACCAACCTTGTTGCCTTGTCTCGCATAAACACATTGACAACAGATATTTACATCTGGAGAAACCTGCATAGAAACTAAACATCAATATATGTATCAAAGACATTGCCTCAATCATTTAGCGCAGAAAATTAAGAGAGCCTTTGTGGTCAAACCTTTTTAGAGTTCACAGTGGTAGAGCTCGCCTTAGAATTGACCTGAGAAACCTTTATTTCGAATGCTATCTGAAAACATGACTCCCGTTTTGTTGAAGCCTGAGATTTTTTATAAGGGACTGGTAGCATAACTTGAGGCCCCCAATTTCATTACCCTATATATACAAACAGAGTGAGGAGAAACTATGTTTAAGCATAGAACAAGGAAAGATTGTTAATCTATTGAATGGTAGTTTTGAATGTGTTAACGAACCTGCAACTTTTGGCAATACTGCTCCGCCAAATCTTGTGGACAATTTGCTGATGGAAAAGCTTCAGACATAAGATGCATGAGAAACACATTACCAAATTTTTCATACATCACTTTCTGAGCTTTGATGATTTCCCCGAACAAGCCCTGCTGTGTTCACAAGACAGAGAAAAGGAAGAGAAATTCAGTCTAGTTGCAGAAAAAAAATTCTCCAACTGGTAGATAAATAAAAAGAAAAAGAGAATTGAAGTTTTTTATGCTTACAGTATTCGCATCATTGAAGTCAAATGATTTATCGAGTACACTGAACAAGCAGCAGTTTGTAGCAAAACATTTGATCATGAAATCCTGAAAACCTGGGACCTGAAAGTAAAAAAAAATGGATTATGACATTTGTGGGTTTTCCATGAAGAAAAGAAAGTGAACAAGAATGTTTAGCAAGGCAGACCTTCTCCTCAGTGTATGGCTTGGGACACCAATCTTCAATAAGTCTAATGAATATCTGCACGCATGCCTATTTAATGCAACCAAAGAAGAGGGTAATAAGAACAAGAGAAAATCATCAAAAGTATGTGAAAACGTAAATAAATGATAAGTGTTACAAACCTTTCGCACAGTAATATCCTTGTGAGTACAAGCAGTGTTCAGAAGAAGCTGCATCATCGTTCGAAAATACGCCATACTTTTAGGGGTAAGGAATACAGAAGAGAGATCATGTGTGGCCATCACATGGAGAAATGTGTACAGCGTCCTTTGAAGCTCGATCAGTTCCCTCATTTCCTACAAAACATATAAACAGGTTCGCAGTTTAATGTTGCAAGATAGCCAGAAAATCATGCATGGAGATTAATACACTGAGTTATATATTCAAACAATCAAACAAATATCTCAGTAACAGCTTCATGGCGTGAGGGGAAGTCATCTCTTGGAATTACACTGAAAATCCTACTAGCAACCACAGGATAGACTTCTTCCAGTATACCACGGAGAGAGTTGCTGAACTTGCAGATAAGCTGGTTGAGTAATACCAGAAAACCAACCATTTCCTTTGGCTGCTACACCATAAATAACATTATTTGTACAAAAAGTTATTCGCAGAGATGCAAGTGAACAATACGAGTTTCAACTAACTGTTATTATGAGGATTCAAAAGCAAAGGGGAATTGAACAGTCTTAAGGTGAGTTTGAAAATTTTGGTATACCTCACTGTCAGCAAGTAGCTGTTCTAAAGCCGTGGGAAGATACAGCAACACAGAGGCTCCAAGGGTTTCAACCATACGGTGTATGAGTGATATGACCTGAAGAGAAGAGGAATACGCTAATTACTATGAATCAACATTTAAATAGATATAATATGTAATACTACAGGTCACGGTATGTCTACTTATTAGCATACAACTAAACTCATACCGTACTCCACAAGGGCTCAACCTTTGGAAACTCAATCAAAATCCTTAAAAGCACGTCGAGTGTCTACAATTCAGAGAAGGGTACCATCGTTAAAAAGCCAGCAGATTTCGATTAGGGCAGTATATTATACGACAATATAATTGCAAGGTAGATTGCACTATGATGATTTTTCATACAAACCTTCTTAAACATGATACCAATTTTGGGGACATTTATACCTTGCCGGCGATGTTGTTAGACAACCAGTCAAGACCTTTATAAAGTCCCTCGCCTGAAGTGGCACATGTGCTCTGGATGTACCTGAAGAGAGAGAGAGGGTTCCATATACATATAAAATTATAAATACATCATAATCAAGAAAACAATTAAGGAATGAAGCCCTTCGTATTGCTTCCAAAGATTAACATCCGATCTATTGCTACATCAAGAACCCTAACTTAGAAATTAAAAAAGACAGACCTTTTTGATTAATCTTTGGAAGAAGGAGAAGTTGTAACGAAGATTTTGATGAATGTCTGAGATTCAAAGAATGGACATCGTATATATATTGTCAAGCTTTCCTAATGGTATGAGATTGACATATTTGGCATTGAATTTCCAACTTCTCACACAAGTTATCGAATATAAGGTAAGGAAAGTAAATTACCTACATTAAATTTTAGAGATACGATTCTCATATATAAATTCTAACACTTTCACGCCAAACAAAAAATAAATTAAAAAGAAAATTAAATTTAATCAACCAATCAGATTCTCAGAATTTCTCTGAGAAGGCATGTATGAGTGTCACGTGTCCAAGTGACTTCTCTTTTAATGTATAGGGGGATTTTAACATTTTTAGGCCCATAGTTTTTTTTTATCAAAAGGCCTATAGTTGTTATTCAAATACTATTCATTAATGTTAACATCGAGAATGCATGAATCTCTATAATATTATTTGAGAAGTCAGTTTCCTACATATCGCGCTCACGTTAACTCTCGCGATGGTTGATTACATATATATATATATATTTAATGTATTGTTAGATTTTAAGATTATTATCAATTTTTTTATTTAATTCCTTTTTTACTTTTTCAAAATAACATATATAATAAAAGGAAATATTTCTAAAATTTAGAAACAAAATTAAAAACAAAAATATATGTAGATGATATGATTTTATTAAAAAGGAAAGTTCACAAAATAGTAATATCCCCATTAATATATATTTTTAAATAACATAAAATATATGTTCATGAACATCTAAAACTTTATCAGTTACACTTTATTTTCTAATTTTTTTTAGAAATCAACATATAATTTGATAAATATTTTGAAAATACATGTATATTTAAGTGATAAATAAAACTAATTTGATTTGACTTAACTAAAATATGGAGTAAATAAATATTAGGAAAATACATGTATATTTAAGAGATATATAAAACTAACTTGATTTGACTTAACTAAAATAAAAATTAATTATACTTCAATTTTAATTTAAAAATATATTTAACCCAATATACTCACAACATGAATGACTCGACTAATCTAATTTATATCCAAAATTAAACATCTAAATACAATAAGAACATTTAATTTATAATTTGGATAATAATAATAATAATCTATTTAATTTTATACATATAAATTAGAGTTAACTCATAGCATATTAAAAGAAAAAGAAAATATTAACCAATTATAATTTAATTCTTTTGTATAATTTATATATATACATGAGACTTCAAAATATTATCATTATATTCATTTATGTAATTTTGAATCAAACACTTTAGATTATTATTTATATCATTTTAAGCACAATATATATTAAGTTATACATAATTTAACTATAATGCATTTACATATCTAAGAATATATTTACATATCTAAGACAATAACCAACCGAAATGAAAATAAGAAAATTTATCAAAGTTTTATTATATTTAGAATAAAAATTATTAAAGCTGAATTCGATCCAATATACCAAATTGATTACCAAACCGACTAATGATCCAAAAAATAATTAAACCGACAATAATATATCCAAAGTCATATGTATAATTAGAATAATATAATATTTATTAATATAAATTATACATAGAAATTGATTCAGAACTAAAACTAAATATCAATCAATTATTATAAAATTTTACCTTTATAAGTATTCATATCCGTGCATTAGCACCGGAAAATCACCTAGTATATTTAAAATATGAAGCATGAATAGAGTTTAAAAAATAAAAAGCAAAAAAACTGGTTTTCTATTAATATCTGTAATGGATTCCAATTGTACTTTAAACAACCCTATTCTACAAGTACTAATAAATAAAATCTTCATATCGATTCCATGAATACTTTGTAGCATTAATCTTCATATCGACTCCATGAAGCATAACAGAGACCTTCTGTAAAGCCATGTGTCCCTAAACATGTATCATGGAGAGAATCTAATAAGTCACATTTCATCATTGTACTATTTTCATTGGTTGGTTTTCGTGAATTAGTAGAGCAAACAATATGAAAGCAAATAATGCATTATATATATATATATATATATATATATATATATATTACCAGTAGATAATGTATATAAAATAATTTATATTACCAGTAGATCATATACTAGCCAAGTTTTTAGTTTTTTTTTTTTGTTCTGAAACACTTTTTTTTTTATAAACACAACCAAGTTTTTAGTTAATAGTTATTAGTCAATAGTATCAGAATGGTGAACAGAATTTCCAATATTCATACCTAGACTATATGTAAACTATAGTCAAGATAATTCTATCCTATCAACTGCAAATCGTGATTTAGAATATTTCATAATAATGATTTACTAGATAAGACATGCACCTTGCGCATGATAAATTTATATAAAAATTAATTATAAATATTATATAAAAAATAAATCTATATTCTTGATTGTATTAATATTTTGGTCTTTAAACGTTTTTTAAACTTTTTGTTAATTATATAATTTGTTTAGTGATGAGCTGATCTCATTTTTAAAAATGTTTTAGTTCAAAATATCACTTACCACAAAGAACTTAACCTTTAGGTCGAAAAATCTCACTTCTATTTGGTTACAATGAAACTATGTCAGCTCGGTTTTATATCATGATTTAACAATTTCAAAATTATTTTTGGTTATGAGAAGTTTACGTTCGCGTGTCAGTCCTATCTATCTTCAATATTTTTCTCTTTTTGTGTCTTTTTCATAATGGTTATTGCTCGATATAAATATTGATTTTAAAGTTTTTTCTCATTTCGTTTGTTTGTTTTGGTCTGAGATTTAAGAAATGCTTAAGATTTAAAATAATTAAAGCGATACATACTTAGGTTAAGATCTGCACATTTTTTTAAAATAAGTATTTTATATTTATTATTTATTTTATGGAATAATAAAATAATAAGTATATATATTAAATAACTAAGAATTCAGTTGTTATTACGTGATAAATTGGCGTGTGCATATAAATCTAACGATCACTCTTGTTTATTTGCAATTAGTATAAATAAATCAAAACAATCAATCTTATCTATCGTATATGATATATAATTAAATTTAAATGAAATTAACATAGATATATAATACACTTTTAATATCGATAATTATTAAATGAGATTTCAACTCATATTATTTTATGATTATTTAACAAAATTTTACACCAACAAATTTTTTAATGTGAGATTTTTAGTAGTTTCAATAATTTATAATCATTAAAAAAACAAGGACAGATTTTAAAATTAAAATATTAACTTTTCAGTATATGTTCAATGCAAATATTAAAATATAACTATGTGTTTTCAAATGATGTATATGAAAGGAAAATTACTATTACACAATTTATACAGTTATATATATATTTTTTTTATGACACACATTTATATTTTGTTTAGAATTTACGACATGTGTCAATAAAAAATTAAAATTGTGACATGTGTCAAAAATATAATACAAATCCATTTTGTTTAAGATTTGGAAAATGAAAATTATTATTACCAAAATAATTCTTATGGTTTGTTTTTATAATTTTAGAAAGGGGAAATTATTATTACACAATCTTACACAGTTATATTTTTTTATGATTTAAAATAAATTATTAGAAAATAATTATTTCAATAAATATTAAATAATTTTTCAAATTGGAATTTTTACAATTTGTTTTTAAAATATCTTATAATATAAAGAATTTGATTCTTCAAAGTTGCTAATTAATATGATTACGACATGTGTCAATAAAAAAATTTAGATTCTTACAAGTGTCAAAAGTATAATACAAATCTATTTTGTTTAGGGTTTAGAAAAGAAAAATTATTATTACCAAAAAAAATCTTATGGTTGGTTTTTATGATTTGGAAAAGGAAAATTACTATTACATAATCTTTTACAGTTATATTTTCTTTAAGATTTAAAAGAAATTATTAGCAAACATTTTTTTCAGTAAATATTAAATATTTTTTTTTTTAAAATGGGATTTTACACTTCGGTTTTTAATATCACTACATATTTTACCATTTGTTTTTTTTAGTAAACCTGGCTTTAGTATTATTTTTATCATCAAATTCTTAAAAAGAAAAATTGTTATTAATTAAGTTATATAATTGTATTTGGTCATGATTTAAAAGAAAAAATAAAAGAAATTTTGTCAGGATTTAAAATAAAAAAAATAAAAACAATTCTCTTTTTTTAGATTACCAAAATTATTTACAAATATCTGTTGTTAGGATTTAAAAAAAGAATTATTTCATAATCTCTTAAAATTTTGTGATTAATATTAGCGAAACACATGACAATATATATTTTAAGATTGTGACGTGTGTTTAAATCTTTTTTTTTATGATTTTAGAAAAATAAAATTACTATTACACAATATATTGCAATTATATTTTTTTTAGGGTTTAAAGAAATTATTTGCAAATAATTATTTCAGTAAATGCTAAATAAAAATTTTAAATTGGAATTTTTACACTTTGTTTTTTAGTATCACTACATAATTTTGTTAGTTAAACTGGCTTTAGTATTATGTTTATCATCAAATTCTTAAAAATAAAAAAAATATGTAAATTATATAATTATTTTGGTCAGGCTTTAATGGAAAAATAAAAACAATTCTCTCTTGGTTTAGATAAAACATATGTTATAATTATTTCACAAAAGGAAAATTATTATTACAAAAAAGAATTTTCTTATGGTTTCTTTATATGATTTTAGAAAAGTAAAACTACTATACACAATTTTTTTACAATTATATCTTATTACGATTTAAAATAAATTATTAGTAAATAGTTATTTTAGTAAATATCAAATAGTTTTTTAAGAGTGGAATTTTGGTCATATATCAAAATTATTTTACAAATATCTGTTATTAGGAGTTTAAAAAAAAGTATTACGTAATCTCTTAAAAGTTTCTGATTAATATTAGGGAAAAATTTATAACTACCACTTTCACACTACCATTTTTCAAATATACCACAATTTAATTGCACTTTTCAAATATACTACTTTCGTTTAATGAAAAATTACAAAACTAACCCTAATTACAAAACTAACCCTAGTTACTTTCTTTTCTATCATTCTCGTGTTAGGGTAAAGGAGGAGAGGCGGAGGTGGAGGAGACGTGGGCAGAAGAGGATCTGGTATGATCGGAGAGTTCGTCGGCAGTGGGGATGAGGGATTAGGGGGAGGAGGAGGGAAGACATGAGGGGCGACGAGGAAGAAGAATAAACATTCGTGAAATATCAAAACTTTTGTGAAATCCCGACGTGGGTCGTTTTCGATTGTATTCGATCTGGCATTATCTCAGGAAACAAGATCTCGAAGATTCCAAATTAGCCCTAGAAATTCTGAGAAACTCCGTGCATGGAGAGGGAGAAAGGTTGTCCAAGATAAGATTATTCTGGAGATTATGGGTTAGGCTCAACGTCTAGCGGCCCAAAAGAGAATAAACATTAATGGCTGCTTACATATAAGTTTTCACTTCTGATGCAATCAATCTTTAAGCTTGGTTCTCAATTTGGACTATTTTCACACTTTTATTCATGCTGTTGGTTACTGTTGTTGCCGCTGAGGATGAGGATTGAGGATGCTAAGGTTGTGTGTCTGTCTATGAGGTTTTGTATGTTTGGTAGAATCAGTTGTTGTTCCCTTAAATCATATCCCGCTTTCATCCAAACCTTATATTCGTAATAACCCTCTCAAGTACCTGTAAGTTCTTTGTTTATTCATCTTCAGACATATCTTGGAGATGACTGGTTGTATTATACAACTTGTATAATGCTCCATTGGTTTTGCCCAGCAATCTTGCTCACAACCAGCTTAAGCAGCTAGCTATTGACTTCACCAAACTCACCTCCCTCTCCATCTTGTAAGATCTTCTCTTTTTTTTTTCCCTGAGTAAAATTAGTTAAGAGATTGGTTAGTGAGTGGAAAAATGTTTTGATGAATCCATGTGTGTTTCCAGGGACCTCTCTTCCAATACTATCACAGGTTCTCTTCCAAACACAATGAGCTTTCTTACAAGTGCAACGTCAATGTAAGTACTATCACAGGCTGTCGTCGCTGAAACGGTCTTTGTCTTGGACTTCAATGTTGAGTATGTTTGGAGAGTCCCATGTAAAGATTGGTATCTTGAACTCTTCTGGCCATTTGGATGATAGTGTTTTCTTTAGTATCTTGGTTTTGAACCTGTAAGCGCCAAGCTGTCCTTTCACATAACGATCAGATAAACCTGAAGCATCCAAAATCCGAGTACTTCATAAGAGGCCGTTTTCAAGCTTTACTAGGGTGGAGGAAACTAACTAACCATTTAGAACTGATGGTTTAACATCAGATGGTTCAACGACTTCAACAAGAGCGCAGGGCCGTGCCTGAACGAAAGCCACTAAAGCATTTGCTTGGGGCCCTGGATTAGATTAACTAGTTAAGGGGCCCATAATTTGACAAAATCTTCTCTAGATCATTTGGATACAAGAGCATTTATTAGGATTAGAGGTGAGAAGTTCGATACGTCCCCTTCTTAAGGTAAGAATAGATTTTTATTTTCTGTTAGTTCATTGTAAAAATGGCCATAGAATTATTTGTGCTTGGGGCCAATGTTATGTCAGGCACGGCCCTGCAAGAGCGTGTGCAACTGGTTCTTTCTCATCAACAAAGAACCAATTCTCTGGAACCAACACACAGACACAGAATGTAAGTGTAACCATATAGATTGATTATATTGAAGTTCGAGAGAATAAGAGTTTATAAAACCATTTAAATTTATAAAATCTTTTATAAATTTACAAATCATTTACAAGACTTCATAAATCATAATGTAAGGTTAATAAGAACCTATAAGAGTTTATAAACCATTTATAAAGGTTTATAAGGGTTTTTAAAATGTTTATAAGGGTTTATAAGAATTTACAAAGGGTTTACAAACCATTTATATGTGTTTATAAAGATTTTATATAGAATCTATAAGGTTTTATAAATTAATTATAAGGTTTTATATAGGTTTATAAGGGTTTATATGTTTATAAAAAATTTATATAAGATTTATAAGGCTTTATAAAATGTTTACAATGGGGTATGAAGAGTTTATATAAAAGGTTTATAAGAAGTTGTAAAGGCTTTATAAGAATTATAAGAAGTTTATAAATAGTTTAGAGGATCTTCTTGAGCTGTTAGAGAAATATATATTCTGCTAAAAAAATATATCATATATCATTTAGAAGAGTTTATTAATAATTTAGAAGAGTTTATTAATCAGTTTATAAATTCTTACAACCTCGATTGCCTCCTTCAGGTGTTTAATATTTAGAAAAAAAAATGCTCATCACCAATGCCAAGAACTACACCATTCAAAATTATGATCCATCTTTCTATTTGTATATTCTTTTATGGATTATTTGTGTTTGCAAGAATGAAACATCTATAATGATTAACAAAATTATTTATGTGTGTTTATAAAGGTTTGTTAAACCACTCATATGGATATATAAAATAGTTTTGTATATAAATCATTTATAAGAGTTTGTAAAACCTGTTATGAACCATTTTTCAATTTTATAAGAGTTTATAAAACCTTGTATGAATATTTATAAAGTTTATAAAACACTTATAAATATTTATAAAATTATTTATAAAGGTTTATAAAACTATTTATATGGGTTTATAAAACCATGTACAAGTACTTATACCTATAGACATAATTCTCACAACATGTCCATAAGGTAGCTTTCTTAACACTACTCCCACTTAACACTGTTTGAATTCAACTGTCAAGACCTGAGAAGAGTCTCTGAGCCTTCATCACAAGCTTCTGACCATTGGGGAAGTCTCATCTCTGTTTGTTGTTTCTGGTTGTGGTTCTGTTTTGACTGCTTGAAGATCCTCTACCTGATGGCAGCTCTTGGCGACAGACAGGGCACGAGTTATGCTGAACCAGCCACAGGAGGATGCAGTCAGAATGATAGATGTGGTTACAAGGCATTTGTTTCGCTTCTCCTCCCAATTCGAACTCGTCTTTGCATACAGTACAGTTCGAGTCAGACGACCTAAGATGCCTCTGAGCTATCTTGATGGTTGGCAATGCATCTATTGAAGATCTAGGAGCAGGTGGTGGTCCTCTGCGAGTAGAGCCAGCTGAAAGCTGCTCAAATAGCTCTTCAAGACCAGGACCGAAGAAATAATTTCCGGTGTTACCATGTGTGATGCCAATGCCTGGTGAGCCACCATTGAAGAGGGCTTCGAATGCATTGTCTCCTCCAGAGAGTCTATAAGGGTCCTGACCACCAAAGATCAAGAGAGGAGCCAAGCTAGGAAAGTTTTCAGGACCAGAACCAATGGCTCTTCCTCTGTTTTCTCGGTTCCTCGTAAAGGCGGAGAAAGCATCCATTAGATCAAAAGTTGGATCACGTTCCACAACATTCCTGTGAGATCTGAACATATCAAACGGGCTTGCTTGAGGCGTACCAAGCTCTTCAACAAACCCTCCTCCACAATAAGAACATACGGGATCTCGGCCGTGAAGTCGAACAACACGTTGGCATCTATGACACCAGTGTGTATTTCCACTGCTTGACATCCTCACTGTTGTAAGTTTCCTTCTGTTGATTCAAAAAAATACCACAACAACAAAACTTTCTTCTTGAATCCCTTTAGAAGTTAGCTCATTTGCTCAGTGATAAGCCTGCAAAAGGGAGTACAAAAGTTATAACCATTGCATTTACATCAAACCATGGCACGTTACAAAATTTAATTATGGGCCATACTTCAACAAAATAGAGATCTAGATAAGTGTTTGATTCAACACTATATTCTCAAGTTTGAATCTTTAATTAAAAACTCAGACTTTATAATGGTATATAAAGCATATAACTCAATCATGAACGGAACATGCACTAAGAAGTCTAACTGCTAATAAACTGCTAATGGGGTGTTGTTTGCATCTGAGAAAGAAAAAAACAATACTGGTAAGAAAGCACATGGATTTGAAGTTTCAAGAGCATGGATTTTAAAATATGCAAGGACTAAGTCAACAAAAGAAACCATATCTTATGTACTAAACTGAAACTTTAAAGTCTTGAACCTTCTTAATATCAGGTCTAGAGTAAGGATCTCTGTGGACAGGAGGCCATTTAACAGCATCTCTTGATACAACAGGGAAGTCACTTCCAATCCGATGCGATTCATCATCTTCTCTGTTCAGTTCATCCACACGACAGTCGAATTCCGGTTTCAGAGACTCGAGCTCATTGATTACAGACCGCAACTTCTGTAGTACAAAAAATATCCATATTTGAGAATATTAAGATGTCAGCTTACACTAGAACAACACTTGGAAGGCTAAATATAAAGATACCTGACCTTCCTACTCCCAAGTCTGGCTTGTGGAAGCGATGCCTGGTAATCTTGATGGAAAGGAACGGTTTCAGAAATCAAACTGCGAGAGAAAGAACAAAACTTGTAGCTCTTCAATGGAAGAATATATACAAAAGTCTCATAAGTACACATACTAATCTTTTTCTCCTCACCTTGAATATCTAAGAAGCATAATATACAAATCAACAACATTCCTCTCTTCTCAGTATATGCTGGCCTGTGCAATATAGAACCCAATAAATCAATTAGCTGCTTTGAAAAAAAGAGAATCATACAACTATAACGCTTCACTACTACATATCTCTCTACTAGATTATTGTGTTTTTTTTTGCAACTAAAAAAGAGGTTCTGAGCCTATAGGCCCTTAAATTAACTTTCATATGAAGAGTATACCGGGCTCGAACTTTGATGTTTTAGATCTAGTCCTAAAGTTCTTAACCACTGTGCCAACTCCTCGTTGGTTCTCTACAAGATCATTGGAACGAAAACTTACGGAACTTGGGACGATTAGGTTTACACGGGACGTAGAAATCAAATAATTGATCCAATAAACTATCAAAATCTAATTGTTAAGCTAATTGAGATGGAGATTTGAATCATCGGAGCAAACCTGACGGAGAAGATTATCGGCGATGCGGTAGTAGTTACGGAGAGGATTACAGTTATCGACCTCGATCTTACGAGCTACCTTATTTAGATCAATCTTCATCTTCACCCGTATCTGATGATTTCAGTCACTTCTCCGGCTAAAGGATCAAAGAAACAACGCCTGAGGTAGAGAAGAATCAAACTGTGTCGTTTTCGTTTTTCAAACAAATGTCGACATGATTACCTACGAAAATCAAAAGTCCGTCTAGCAAAACCAAGTTCGCCATGGATCGTCGAGTTCAGTATTAAAGACATGGAAAAATCTTGGTCGAATTCGTCGGAGATAACCGAGTTCGCCGGGGATCGTCGAGTTCACCGGAGATCGGCGAATCCTTGGAGTTTTTCTTCTCGTGACCGGAGAAGAAAAGAGATGGAGAAGACCAGGTTTATGTTTGATTAATTAAGGGTACTATGGTCTTTTTCCTATCAAAATTTTAAGTGTAAAGTTGGTTAATGTAAAAGTGAAATAATGTATCATCAAAGTGGTAGTTTTAGCAATTTCCCTTAATATTATTGAAACACATGACAATATATATTTTAATATGTGTTTAATTTTTATCATAAATATAATTATCTTAAAATATAGATAGATATATATATATATATATATATATATATATAATTATCTTACGGAAAAATATTTGATAGTAATATTTCCTGTTAAAAAATTCTAAAAAAATATAATCGTAAAAATCTATTTGAATGTAATTTTCTATTTTTCAAAAAATTATAAAAAAATAGTAACTTTAAAAAAACGAATAATAGAATCCAACAACTATAATTATTTCAGTAAATATTAAATAGTTTAAAAAAATTGGAATTTTTACCTTTTTAAATTCTAACTTTTTAGTCCTAAGCAAAAATAATTGTTAAAGCTTATTTAATAGTAGTTTTTCTTTTTAAGAATTTATCAAATTAACATAGAAATAATGTAAAAGTATTAGTAATACTAAGAAAATGAATTTTGAAAATAGAAACTTCTTAAAATCATTAATATTACTTGGAAACAATTATTTGTTAGTTAAATTATTAATTTTAAAATCCTCGACAAAAAGGAATTATAAAACAAAATATTATTTTTTCATTACTAAAATCCTTATTAATAACTTTTAAGGAATATTTGATAATAGTTTTTTTTTTAGTTTTAAACAAAAGAGATTTGTATCATATTTTTAAGTCTTATCCAAAAGATAACTTTACAAATATTATTTGATTATATGCTTTAAAATAGAATTCAGTGTTGAAAATGGATAAAAATATTTAATTAGAAACTAACTGTAAAAATAGTAGTCATGAGTGAGTAATTTTAATATTTATTTTAATATTAACTAAAAACAGTTATTTGATAGTAATATAATTTACCTTAAATTCTAAACATAAGATAACTGAAAGATTATATGATATGAATTTTCCTTAAAATGCAAAAAAAAAATTTGATGTATTTTTTTCTTTTTCAAATTTAAACAATAGATATTTTAAAATAAAATGTTTTTCTTTTTTGTTAGATCATAACAAAAAATAATTTTAGAAACCTATATATCAGTATTTTTAAAAGAATTGGATAACAAACTATTAATTAAAAGAGAAAAGGATGTTGGTCAAGATTTTGTTTTTTATGTGTTTGATCATACGAAAATCAAACACATGTTTGATATATATTTTCATGTTTGGTCATAAAAGATAGATGTTGTCATCATAAGTGATCTTTATATGTGTTTGATGAAAGACAAATAAATCTCCAACCTCATCTTAATACTTTTGTTTTTGTTTTTACTATGTAGTGTTTTTAATTATTTTTATTTATATTGTTATTATGGAAATATAAAAAAGAATAAATTAAGAAAATTATTTAACTAATGATTTTATTGTAAATTGGAATTTATCTGGAAAAATGAATTCTTAATTCTAAAATAAAATCATACCACATATTCTTAAAGATCCTAAAACTATAAGAGACATGCTAACCAGAAGACCAAAGAAATGTTTAAAGCTCAAATGTCCTCAAGTGCCCTTATTTGAAATGTTTAAAGTTCAAATGTCCTCATTTTTTTTTTAATTTTATTTGTCAAACGAAAAATCATAAAATTAAACTGAAAATGTCAATATTTTTTATTTGATTTATAGAATTTTATAAAAGTATTTCAAAAATAAAAAAAAACTGTTTTTTCATATTTTTCCAAAAATCATCAAAATATGATTAAAAACAATTTTAAAATATTTTTTTTCGAATTTGAAACATATAGAATTTAAAGATTTACCCATGGGTTCATTGATCTATAGAGGGGGGGTTTGTTTAGTTTTGATCGCTTGGAAATGATTTATTTGGGATTTTCATAAAATGGTGAAGGATATGAAGATTAGTGGAGGATATAAGTGATTTAATTTTTTTGTAGAAGGGCATCTGAGCAATTGACTCATAAGTGTGTTGAGAGCTTCTACCGCATCCCTCCTTATATAAGGACCCCGTGAGATCACCTTCCCACGCCACTGAATAAAACACATTAAAGCCAAAATAATCTGATTGATACTGCGAATCCTCCCTCTGAAACAAAAGAAGCAATCATAATGGTGACAGCTCTTGATATGAATCTGTAATCCAATCACCTCTTTCCCGTCGCGAGGCAAACAAAATCCACAGATAACTTTTCGAATCAACCAATCAATCGAGACCCAATAAAGATCGAGGATGATATCATAGAGATCAGTTAAAAGAACTATTGCGAACTGTGATTGCCTTGAATAGAGTCGAACAGAATCTCGTAATAAAACCCATGCTCCATTACTTTCCCCCTTTTCTTTTTGCTGTAGATCTCCTCGAAGATTGACCAAATCGATCCAATTAAATCCTTTAACTTCCTCCCGAATCCCTTGAAGAACCTCATAATAATGATGAGAATAAGCCTTTGAGATCTATGTAACCCATGGAGTTCCCGGATCCCAATTGTGAAGCTTCATCCGAACCCTAGAAACTTGTCGCCATCGTAGTCGCCTCAGAGAGAATTTTTTTTGATAATAGAATACCGGGTTTAACATAATTAAAAATCACAAAACATTATTATAAGATACCTTATAAATTGAAATATTTAATTATATATTTAAGATTACAACATGAGTTGAATAAAAAATTCATTATAAAAATAACATAAACCCAAAATAATTTAAAAAGTTAATTGTTTTAAAAGTCTTACACAAAAAACCGTTAAAACTATTTCCATATAGATAATTATTTAATAATCGTACTTTATTTTAAAACATGGACTTAAGATAAGTAAAAATACAATACAATTTTTTAAGATAACTTTCTTCCAAATAAATTATTTTTAAAATATTATTATTATAACTAATTAATTGTATTTTCCCTGTTAAAAGTATTGCAAAGTTGGTTTTCTTTTTTTAAAGTCTTAAACAAAAGTGTAAAAAACATTTCCATATCTATAATTATTTAACAATAGTATTTAATTTTTAAAACGTGGGTTTAATATAATTAAAAAACACAAAAAATTATTAGGATACCTTACAAATTAAAATATTGTTTTCTTATAAATATTTTATAGTATTTTATCGTTGAAAAGTACTAAGCAAAAGAAAATTGGAAAAAAAAATCTTATAAGTTATTTTATCTGTAGTATTCTTTTTGAAGAATATTATTTGCAAGGTTAAATAAAAAAATATTGGTGTAAAATAATTATAGATATATAAGTTTATTTATTATAGTATTCCTCTTATGAAAGAACCTTATTTTCAAGTTCAAATAAATATATGGGTTTTAAATAATTCAAAAATTTTAGACATTGGTTTAAGATTAATAATTTTCTCATAAACTAAAGTAATTACAAAACTAGATTATTCTTATAAATATTCAGTAGTGATTTTCCTTATAAAAACGAAATTATTAGATAGTTATTTTCCTTTTACAAACTCATAAACTTAAAAGCTATATTTAATTCTTCTTATAAATAAACCTTAGTTTTTGAAGTTTCTAATTATGATATGTGTTAAGAAGTTATCATTATGTACTAAAATAAAAAAAACATTTGATAGTAATTTTCCTTTCTTAATTATAACTATTTAGTAGTATTATTTATTTTTAAAATACCTGGGATTAAGATAGTTATAAAATAAAAATACAAAATTTTAAGATAAATTTATATTTATAAACCAACAACTATTACAAAATATTTTTACTTATAAATATTTAATATTTTCCTTTTTATTAATTATAAAATAAAGAGCATTGTTAAAAAAAAATCCTTATAAGTAAATATTATAATGGTAGTAATTATTTAAAAACATTATTTGCAATGTCAAATAAAAGACGTTAATTTTAGAAAATTATAAGATTAATTAATACTGGTTTAAGATAAAAAAGAAATTCTTATAAAACAGAAATAGTTGCAAAAACTTACTATATAAAAAAGTCTATACCGCTGTCAAAAAAAAGAGTCTATACCATGATCAAAATAGATTCCAAGTTACAATCCTCTATAAATATTAATTTCGAAATCTTAGTATTTAGAATGGCGGGTTTTGATATGATTTACGATATAAAGCCTTTCCAGGATCAGTGTTAAGATTATTCGCCTTTGGATACAATACTCACATTCTTGCATATATCATGTAGTGATTATCTATAAATATTCATTTATGGTCGGTCACTGTTACAAAACAGTATGTTTTTGATATGTTATCATTATGTATGAAACAGTTTTCGAGTTTTTGCATATATCCTGTACATCTCTATGGAGTTTAAGAGGAGTATTTCATGTACGTGAAATAAAAATATGCTCTAATTTGTAAGTACTCACATGTTTATTGAAATCAAGTGTTGAGTACGGAAATACTGCTCTAAACTTACATGATTTCTGGAATTCTATGGAGACAAATAGACAATGTAGTATTATGCGTTTAGAAGTTTTAGCTTATTGAATGGAAAGAAGGTAATTTAGTTTTTTGCCGACAATATGCTTTGATTAGTTAGGGCCACTTTTTTTTTTTTTGCATAATTTAGGGCCAATACTTACTTATTCACTTGAAAGCCTATCAACAATGTTGCGTCCATAT